ATAATGCCAATTCACAAAATTTACGATTCCTGGAATATTCTTGTTTAGAAATTATCATTATTTAATATGGAACAGCTTTAGAATTGGTCCTTTTGGCGATTTTTTGATTTGGCAACAAATTTTGGTCGCCTATGTATACCCGGCTTTGAAGATCGGAAAAAAATGGCGGATTGTCAACAAAACCGATCTAGACTAAATAACAATCGTAAAAAATAAGCTCTTGATCAGAATAAACAGTCTTTCTCTAATTTTCAACATTTCTAATACAGTCAAAAGTCGTTAATCCGGACTCGTCGGGACTTCGGCAATTCTGGATTATCGATTTTTCCGGATTATAGATCATAAGTTTAAATCTGGTAAGATGGCATTCAGAAATTATAAAATTGAAAATATGAAACCGTAATTTATGAAATAAAGAACAATTATGATCTAAAGGGTATCAAAATTAAAAAAAAAAAAAAAAAAAAAAAAAGCTTAATATTTATTTGTTTACTTTATTAAACATTTCTTTCAATGTAAGTTGTTTAAGTTGCTTCGTTTTATGTGATAATACTTTATCTTTAATTCTATAAACAGACATAATTTCTTCTTCATGTACAAAATTCCGCTGTTAAAGTCCTATAATTGCTATAATTATCAATCGAAAGTTTTTCCTTTTCAATAACCTCTGTATCACTTTCTTCTTTATCGGAAGCGAATTATAATGACGAGGAATTTGATTTAAATCATATCAAAGACGGAGTACACCGAGATAAAACACTACATTTAGTAAGGAATTATAAGCCAAATAAAATGAAAACATTTGCCCTGAAGATAAGGATAGTGCTGACAGATTAACTTCCAATTCATTGCGCGCCGCGGCCTTTCGGCGTCACCCCCCGGGCCGCAGAGCAGCGTGAAATTGATAAACAGATTTCGGAATGGTTTGAGAAACGAAGGATATGCCTTTATCCATTTTTTTGCAGCAATTCCACTTTTTGTTTAATGGACTTCTAAACATACTTTCCCTTTGTAGATCCTTTACATATTAGTAAATATATATCGGAAATTCTATTTGACATAATCGAAAGTTCAAGCTTACTTTTATAATTGCTTTAACAGTCTGCAAAAAATAATAAGCCGGATCCATTTCGAAGATTCAGGAACAACGCAATCTGCAACATTAACTGAATTAGATAATTTTAACTTAGCTTATACCGTCCGTTATACATTAAACGCGCAAGCGTAAACGTATTACGCGCATTCGCAGCCGTAAAAGTCTTACGCGATGCGTCAACGCGACGCATGCGCAGAAAGTTTGTAGCTTTGAGATCCGGATTATGGGTGTCCGAATTAACGACTTTTGTCTGTACTGCTATGATAAATTCTTGAAACACTACCGTAAATGAATTTATGGCAGTGATTATGTTATGAGTAATGAAATTTACAAAAGGTTAATATTTTAAATTACAAAATATAATATTAATGCATTAAACATTAATATTTCAAGTAGTTAGTTAATATTTGTATTATATTAGTACTTAGCTAATATTTTAAATTTACAAAAGGTTAATTTTTATGTTATGAATAATGCATTTCAAACTAATAGTATATGTTACTTTAGTTTCTTAGATTCTGTTATTAAAAGAAAATAAAAAAATATTTCAAAGTGAAGGAAATCAAATTAAATTATAATGAGCAAGTTTTGTAGCAGTGTTAGAAATACTTTTTATGATTAAATTTTGTAAATGGTAAAAATATTAAGAAGTGTATATTTTTTAATCCCTAAATTTATTACAAGTAATTTATGTTTATAATTTAAAAGCTAAAATTAAATTATCATAACGAGTAAATTTTGTACCAATGGTAATAATACAACAATCATCATAAATGATGATTTCTGTGAAAAATTCGAACAGTCATTGGAATCCACTAGTGTTGGAGTGATAAGCCACTGAACAGTGGTCGTTCAGGCTGGCTATATGGGAGTTTTTGTGGTTTTTCGTACATGTAATGTGAATCTGAGCCAGTTTCTTTTAAAAAGTACTTTATGAAGGCATCCTTCTTCTGCTAGCCAGCATATATATTTATTTTCTATTCATAATTCTCTCTTATTTTCTTATCTCTTAATTATAAATTGTACTTCTGAAGTGAAGAAGTGTTACATCTATAAGTCGAAAAATATGGTCAATATGTTTGCAAAATCCTGTTCAGTTTTGGACAGCATTTAAATAAAATAAATAATTTGTATATGATGCAAACAAAAATGCATTACACTATTTCATGTAGTGAATAATTAATCAGGGCACAAAGTGTAATGTAACATTCTTTATTTTTTCCAGAGTTTTTAATTTTATAATTTATTAATATAATTTAATTCCAGAGTTTTTTATGCTTGGGATCTTTACTATCAATTTCCTCCATCCATTTTCCCACCAGAATCTAAATGAAGTTTTTAGTTTGTAAAACAAAGAGTGTTTTGCCTTTCGAGGCCACGTTACTAGGTTGCTAGATAAGATAAGATTTGTAGTCTTTAGTCTTGCATTGTAATTGCTGATAGTTGAACTCCATGCCGGTTAAGTTTTTAACCAACTTTGCATTAAATTGATTTATTTGAATTTAAATTTTACATTTGAACTTAATTGTTATCATAAGTTATCTTGCCACAAGTGGTTGACTGAGTTGTAAGCACAAGCGTGCCTTCTGTTCTGTACATCTAAACTTTATAAGAGAATAAAAGTATATCTTAACTTAATAACAATATATCTAAACTTTATAATAATAACATTTAAAGACATTGAAATCAGTATCTAAGTGCTTGCCATGTAGTCAAATTTTTATATATAAATTGTACTCTTACTTTTATTACAAAAAATTCAGATTTCTGTTAGATAAAATGTTTAAGTAATGTAGAAAATTGGCATAAAATTTCAAATAAAAAGTCGACTGTTATGTCAACATTCTATTAATAAAAGTAATAATACTCAATGAAGGTTATTCATATACAACTATTAGGTTGTAAGATTTACAAAATTTGAGAACTGTAAATTATAAGCAATATATTCCATAATCTAAGCAACATTATATTTTTACAGTCAAATTATAAAAATGTTATAAAAGCAATAATTTCGGTCCTGATTTGAACCTATGAATTCATGCAATTACACATCCCTATAGTTCTAATATGAGGCAAAAAAGTATTTTTAGACCATGGTAATTTTGATCTCCTTAGCAAAGGAAACAAAGAGTTTACCTCATGCTACTGAAAATGTGTTTTTTTTTCTTGGGGGAAGAGTTTATAATAACATGCAGAGTTGACATATGAAAAAAATGTCAAGACTCATGTGATGTAATATTAAAAGCATCAGTTTTAACTATCAAATTTTAGCTTTTTTAAAAATATTTTAAATGTTGTGCTTTCCTAACAAACGTAACTTTAAGAAAAACATGCAATTTATCCCTCCTGCAATCAAAAGTCTGATACCTACCAAATTCGTTAAAGTTACGTGGACAGAAATGGCGGCATGTTTTTCAGCTCAGTATTTAGGGTTACCATAATTTTACATTTATCGCTCCAAAATGTCACCAAACAAATTTCTCGCCAAAAAGGGCTAATACAGTCAAAAGTCGTTAATCCGGACTTCAGATTATAGATCATCAGTTTAAATTTGGTAAGATGGCATGCAGAAATTATAAAATTAAAAATATGAAACCGTAATTTATGAAATAAAGAACAATTCTAAAGGGTATCAAAATTTACAAAAAAAAAAAGCTTATATTTTATTTGTTTACTTTATTAAACATTTCTTTCAATGTAAGTTGTTTAAGTTGCTTTTCGTTTTTTTATGTGATAATACATTCTCTTTAATTCTATAAATAGACATAATTTCTTGTTCAGTTACAAAAGTTCCGCTGTTTAAGTCCTATAATTGCTGTGTCGAGAATACCGACTAATTTGTCAATCGAAATTTTTTCGTTTTCAATAACCTCTGTTACTTTCTTTGCTATCGGAAGCGAATTATAATGACGAGGAATTTGATTTAAATAATATCAAAGACGGAGTACATCAAGATGAAATACTACATTTAGTAAGGAATTATAAGCCAAATAAAATAAAAACATCTGCCCTGAAGATAAGGATAGTGCTGAAAGATCAACTTCCAATTCATTGCGGGCCGCTGCGTTAAAGATAAACAAAGGATATGTCTTTATCCATTTTTTGCAGCAATTCCACTTTTTGTTTAATGGACTTCGAAACATACTTTCGCTTTGTAGATCCTTTACATATTAATAAATATATATCAGAAATTCTATTTGACATAATCGCAAGTTCAAGCTTACTTTTATAAAATTGCTCTAAAAGTCTGCAAAAAATAATAAGCCGAATCCAATTCGAAAATTAAGGAACAGCACAATCTGCAACATTAACTGAATTAGATAATTTTAGCTTAGCTTATACCGTCCGTTATACATTAAACGCGCATTCGTAAACGTATTTTGCGCACGCGCACAAGTGTATTCGCAGCCGTAAAGGTCTTACGCGCATGCGTCAAGTCGACGCATGCGCTTCAAAGTTTGTAGCTTTGAAGTCTGGATTATAGATCATTCCGGATTATGGGTGTCCGAATTAACGACTTTTGACTGTACTAAAGCTGTGCCTTTAATATAATTAATTTTAATTATAGTTTACTATTAATACTACTGAAAAATACAAAGAAACAACTGCTGTAATGAACAAGATGCTTTCATTAATAAAAGTTTTCAATTTGCAAAATTTAAGATTCCTGAAATATTCTTGTTTAGAAATTATCCGTATTTAATATGATAATTAATTATCTAATTTTAATTACAGTTTAAAAACTTATCAGCTTTAATTTACTGCTTTAAAAGAAAAAGTTGCCGATAACATTTTCATTCAAAGTAAAATCTGAAAATAAGAAACAGCTCATGGGATTATCTCTGTACATCACATGACATGTTATATACAAATTTATATAAAAAATACTATTTAAAATAATAAATAATATTTAAATAAAAAATTTTATAAAAAATACTACCAGTTTCATAGTATACAAAATTTCAGTTATTATTTTAAACAAACATAGATTTTTTAACATGATTGAATGTTTCAAAAAGGTTTAAATTTTCTGTTGGCACGCATTAATGCTATGCGTTCTTTGTCCCTTTCAAATTTTTTACGAAGTTCTTCTATTTGCTGCATTTTGGCATCTCTCAGTTGACTCCTATAAAAGTTTAGTAAAGTTTTTTTGGCCTGTGCACGATTGTTCTTATCAAGTATCTTTTTACCAACAGCTTCAGAACGTGGAATTTTAGGTTTCCTGCTATGTCTCGTTACAGTAATCCATCCTTCTTCATCAGCAACGCCATCCATTTGTTTACCTTGTCTTTCTCATCTTCAATTTTTTTATCATATTCACTCATATATGATTCTATCTCTTTTTGAAGATCATCAGGATCAATAAATTGCGAATTGTATTCACGTGACCATTTATTTTGGCCAATATTAGACCTGAATAAATCTAATGGAACGGAAAGTACATCAGTAGTTCTCAATTTCAAAACTTTTTTCAAACTAGATGGATTTTTAAAAACCACATAAGCTACTTTGGGCCCCAGAAATGATTCTTGATCAGAAAAATATTTTGATTGTTCAGATTTAGCAGTTTCCTCAATACCTTTCGGTTTGCTGTGTATAAATATCTTTTTTATGTCACCAGTATCCTTCAATATGTACTTCAGGCACTTTTTATTCAAGCACTGTGGTACATTTACAATAAACAATGTACGGTCGGAAGGTTTAACATCATCTTCCTTTCCTTCGTGCTTCTTAATAAACAAAAAACGAATAACTGAGCTATCAGTTCCTAACCTTATAGGATGAGCATAAAATTCACCAAATTTATGACTTACATTTAACGCATCCATAACAACCTCAACTTCAAACCCCACGTGAAAAACTCTTTTTTTTTTTCCCTCCTCAGTGCAAAACCATTAGGTTAAGATGTGCGAACGCTGCTTGCTTTGCGAGAAAATGATCATTAGAAAAAAATTTAATTGGAAAAACATTTAAACACTGAAATGTACTCTTTTGTACCTTATTCAGAATGAAATTGTATATATTGAAATAATTTTAAGTGTTTCATTTTATCAATATTAGTTTTCTTACTAGTTCTTCAAATTAACTATATCTATAGTAAAGAACTGAAACTTTTAATTCATATTTTTTTTAATTGTTTAGACATAAACAAGTGCAAGTCTTGAAATATTTAATACTTAATTTGCTGAGATAAAACATTTCGTACTTAACGTATTGTCTGAAAATATTTAATATTTGTGTAATTAACCATGATCATATTACCGAAAATGTTTTATTGTGTTTGGCAATGGTGCGAACCGAAACGAATCGGATATTTAAAATGGCTTCGGATGTTGATACTTCGGAGGATGTGAGCAGTAAACGAATCAAATTGTCAAATGATAGTAAATTGGATCCAGTGGCTGAAGATTTAAGTTCACATGCTCGTATAACTTCGCTTGAAGATTTTAAATTAAAAAATATTTTATCAGATAATGCTTATTCCAAAGCTGTGTTTTTAGAAGGCTCATTTGAACCTGTGGATGACACTGCAGTGATTCTATTGGAAAAACTTCCTTTCGTAAAGGATTCTGTCGATAAATTATTGAATAATGCTGATCTTGCTCTGAATTTAAAATCAAATTCGGCACCTGCTCCAAATATCATTCATTATGCTTGTTATCCTAAAGTTGATCGCGGTGGTAAGTCATATGTATTTCTGAATATAATATTATGAGTAATATTTATTTGAAGTATGTCCATAAATTTGTTAATGCATGAATGGTGTTTATTATATTCACATTTAGGGCAACTTAATTGAAATTTAAACAAATTTGAATGTTGTAGATAGGTCTGAATTGCATCAATCATCTCTATGACATTTTTGTCTGACCATTTCTTTCCTTTTTCAAGGCAAAATCATTAGCTAAAACCTTAATTATGATAAATGATAAAGTTTCATCCTAGTATCCGGTGCACAAGGGATTTGGCGACTTTATGATGAGCAGTAAACGGGACATATACGATGTTGGACGGATCATTTTGGTGTTAGCGATAATTTTCAAAATCGCCAAGGGCCGGTTATCTGAAAACTGCCGATTTTACCAATGATAATATTACTCTGAAAATTATAGCTGTATCTTCAAAGAACAAGCTACACTTTACTACTCATCGTATATGTCCCGTTTTTACTGCTCATCATAAAGTAGCCAAATCCTGTGTGCACCGAATACTAAGATTAAAATAAATTTAAAAAAAAAAAAAAAAAAAAAAAAAAAATTATAATTCCAAAACAAACAAAAAAAAAAAAAAAAAGTGGCACTTTATACAGCCAAATTGAAAAAGCAGTCTGTATTTAATTAGGGCATTAAAAGTGAAACAACGCAGAAAATTGGTGATAAATTTTCAGAATTGATAGAAGCAGAATGTATTATCATTTTTTTTCCAAATTTATCTCCCGGAAATATGTTAGCAATCTGGCCAAAATGACATCAGCTGAAAAGGGGATTAAGATACAAACCGACTGGAAAAAAAATTCCAGCAAGAAAGGATGGGAACAAATTCTGCAGTTTTTTGGGTTCCTTTTGTAGAGCAGATATCTTTAGGAACCCTCTGAGAATGGTTATTGGAATACTTCTGAAAAGAAGCAGTCCCTTTTGCTCCTACAGTTATGCCAAGGAAAAAATTCAAAGATATCAAAAAAAAAATTTCATTTGATGGTTTATTCTTCATTACAGCCTGTTGATAAATTGGATAAAATTCAACGAATCCCAACTGTAAATTTATGCTTTCTAAAAAGATTTTTTAAAAAATAGACAGAAGTACCTTTGATTAATGTGAAGGTTTGGTATTTATGTGCTGTTGGAATAATAATGTGACAATTTCTCAAAATTGTTACTTTCATCTTCCAATCCACACAGAAAGATACTTGCATGCAAAAAAGAAAATGTGTATACAGCAGCCAGATTTGATTCATAATTCTAGAATGTATGTAGTTTAGAAAGAATGATGAGCAATTACCATCCTCAGCTTCACAATAAGAAATTGTAGTTAAATATTTTTACATTAAATGTGGCTGTCATGGATGTATGACTTTGACATGCAGCAACTTACAGAAATAATAACCAGTTCACTCACCTGGAGTTCTACTGAGATGTTACAATTGCTTTTGTATAATTGCAGCAAGAAAAGATGGATCTCAACTAGGATAATAGCCTAAGAGTGATAGTCATACCTCACAGAAACAGCTCAACTCAACTGAACGGTGTGGAGTAAATGCATGATTAGAATGTAACGAAGGAAGAATAGAGAGATTTTATTTGAACTGTTTTACAGTGTGCTATGAATATAGGTTTAAAATAAAATTTTATGCAGTTTTTGTCCAAAAAAGGGAAATTTTTTTTCATTTAAATTTTAAAATATTTAATTGAATCTTTGCTTTGATTTCAAAATAAGTTCTTCATAATTTCTTACTACTTCACTTATTATTTAGTCTATGACTATACTCCAGTTTTAAATGTAGCATGATGAGCTTAAACAGAAAAAGCCAGTGTTTGCAATTGGGGACATCATAAAATTCTTTATAATTTTTTACCCTTTTTTAACGATTAATACCTTTAAACTAAGGGGAAATAGGCAAGAAAATAATTAAAAATAAATTTAGATCTAAATTTGGCCTTTAAAAGTTTAAATTTTTACAGCTGGTGGATGCAGTTCAGCAAAATAAGGGTTGAATAAAGAGTGTTTAAGTACACATGAGTGGTAAATGCATGCATGCATAACTTGGGCTACATATATAATAAAACAGTCCTGCCAGTTCTTGAACGTATGGGGATTATTAATCTGAAAGTACCATAAAAGTTTGTCCTCATTTGAAATCTTGACTGCCACATAAAAAAATATGATTGAGATATTTAATTTCAAAATTTGATTTTTTTCTGTCTTTTTCAACTTAAAGAGGGGGTCAGTTAAAATAAATGTAAAAAAAGTTGGAATTATAAAATAAATATAAATAAAGTAGAATAATTAATTCAAGGTTAATATTTTCTTTAATTCAAGGTTAATATTTTCTTTAATGTCATTCATTGATAGTCTTTTATAATTTACTAATATGTAGTATTCTTTAATTTAATTTTGTGGCATGTGGTAAGCCAAAAAAGCTTTACACAAGTAATTTATAAGTTTTCAAGTGCTAAAAATGTTATGTATTCTCATGTAGAAACAAAATGTCATAATCATATTTTTAAAAAAATTGCCGCTGTTTTTCCAAACATGAGTGATATAAATTTTTGTAAAAATATATTGATCCATACTTTTCAGGACAGTCTATATAGCAATGCTTGTTACTAAATATGTTAACAAGCCTCTTTATGTCCTCTGAACATGATCTCAAGTTTTAAAATGAAATATGTCCATTGGACTTCTTTGAACAGACTTACATTCAAAATGCACTGAAAGAAACTGCTTACTGAAAGCCCCCCCCCCCAATGGCTAGACAAAAAGTTCCAAAGAACTGAAATCTTACAGGCAGAGGTTACAAACAATAGAACTAAGAATAAAAAGATCAAAATCATTGTCTAAGGAGCACTTTTGCCTCCCAGTATCTCGACTCCTCTGTAAGACCACGAAGAGCTTTACATCAAAGCAGGTGGTCCCTGTCCATTTCTTCTCCAGAATCATAATGTAGGCAAATATGATTGCTTGAAATGGCTATTTCATGCAGATGGGCGGCAAGGCAATCATTTCCTGTATAGAGACGGAAACCTGTAACTACATTGCGTCTTGGAGTATCAACAATAAGAGAAGGACATTCTCCAACTTTTCAAGGCTGTACGAGTCTGAAGATCTTGTAAGATATTAGTTGTGAATGAACTTTTTAAAAACAGTTTAATCCTCCAATAAGAAATAGCTATATTAGGATGTTGTAGTAATCTGGCACCTCTTTTTGCAAGTAAGTCAGCTTGTTCATTGCCCCAAAGGCCACAATGGCTAGGCACCCACTGGAAAACTACTTGTTTTCCCTTTAAAAGGAGAGTTCTCAGAATTCTGGACATTGCAAAATTCCGAGTGTTCAACAAAGCTTATTGATTGAATGGCTGCATGAGAATCAGGAAAGAGGACTGCCCTTGCAAACTTGTAATGAATAGCTAATAATTGATTTAGGATTATACAGATAGCTACTACTTCACCATCAGGGGAAATACTAATGTATCCTGCATGAGCATAAAAAGGAAAAAGATTCAAAAACACACCAGCCCCCCAAAACTGAGAACCCATCAGTAAAAATGAGCAGTCTCTAGGTAAGTGGATATCTAGCTGCAATGGTCTCCAGAGCGAGACATTTCAAAATGCTTTGTACAACTTCTCTCTTTCTTTCGATATTAATCACCTCCAAAGGGTTTCTAGTTGTCAAGAGAGGTTGTCTATTATTTGGAATCTCAAGATTTTTCTTCATGTCCAGGACTTTTTTAATAAATCCATATTGGGTTTTTAATTTCCTAGGCTTGACTATGTAGTCCCTCTAGTGGAAATCCTTCATCCACAGTAGCTTTTAATAGAGAACCAAAACTCTCATTTTCATAATATCCTGGAAGGGTTTATTTTTTGTCAACAATAACATCTCATGGATAGGTCTGGACTTCACAGCTCCTGTAATCAAGAAAAGAAATTGGTTTTGCTTTACTTCAAGTTTATTAATCATCAATTGTGGAGCAGTAATGAGAGCTTTACAACAATATGTCATTAAAGGCAGGATATAAGTATTAAATGTAATGTTAAGAGTGTACCGAGCGCACCCCTGGATACATCCTGCTCAACACTTTAGAATACTAAGTCTGTTTGAAACATGTTCAATAAGCTGCTCAACATGAAGCTTCCATTTTAATTTATTATCAAAAGTCACTCTTAGATAAGTAAAGTAGTCCGTGTTGGTAATCAAAGTATCTTGGTACTTTAACTCTGGGTGAAAAATTTCATAGGTTAGAGAAAAAGACTGTGAAGCTGTCTTTTCTAAATTTACAGTCATATTATTTTCTTCAAACCAAGTCAAAAGCACCTGCAGGGCTTTATTTAATCGGCTTTCAAAAAGCTTTTTTGCAGCATGTTTTGGAGCCTTGATCCAAATAACCAGATCATCAGTAAATAGTAGACAATGGTACTTGCAGAAAATCTGGTCAACCATTTTTGCCTATTAAAGAAAAGACGCCAAACTATGCAATTTTTCGCCAAAAATGGAAAAGTCTTCAAACATGCTGAGTTTGGTGTAACCTTGATTACACATTTTGGTTCTTATTCTTGAGTAAAGACTCCTTTTTTCCCCTGTACTACGCATTTTTGAAAAAAAAAAAAATTAAAATTTGGGACTTGCCTACTACAGAAGAGCATGCTGTTGAATATTTCCACAGTTATGGAATCTTACCGGCAATTAAATTAAAACCTAGTGAAAATAATTGCTTTTACAGTATATCTCCTTAATAAAAATAATGGAATTTTTTAATGAAAAATTAAATATAAATAAATGATAATGTAATACATTTGAAAGAAAAATAAGAGTAGTATGTTTTTTCTTGTATTTTTGGAGGGGGGCACAATTGGCGCCGTCTCTTGTGGTCAACGGGATTTTCCATAAGTACCTAGACAATTAATACCAGGTGTTGATTTAAGAGAAGAAACTAGATCATTGATATTTATATTAAGCAAGGTACAGCTACTAACTCCTTCTTGAGGAAACCCAATTTATACATTAAAATGCTTGGAGAAGGAATCTTCAAACATAACCCTGCATGTCCTCTGGCTTGTGAAAGACCTAACCCAATTAAATCATTTTGATGAAATACCAATACTCAGGAGCTACTCGTATTTCCTCCAGACAGAATCATAAGCCCCCTTAAAGTCAACATAAACAGCTGTCAAAATGTTTCTATCATCCAAAGCATTCTTAATAAACTGGCTGAGTTTTGTCATCACAATTCAGCCAGTTTATTGGTTAGAAAGGTTAGATTTTGTAATTTTTACAGAATTTATTTTATTTTAATTTAAAAACACCAAAATAAGAATATTTTTCATATTTTAAATTTTTTTTTTTTTTTTTTTCATAACTGAAAGTAACAGTGTAACAGTTATGAAAATAAAGGCCACATAAGGACTCTTATATGGACATAGTGTATAACCGGTAAAAATGTTTTTATTAATACTTGTATACTTATGCATTTTATTTTGACACTTGTGTTTTTTCTTTACCAGATATTAAAGCTACAATAATTTATCCTGCCACACAGAAACATGTAGAAAAATATAAGTTTCAGAACGCGTATATTGTGAATGAAACTTCTGAAGTATATGAAAGTATTGTTCAACCTCATATACTCTCACAAGAATTTTCTTTACAGGTATGTTTATGAATATTAAACTGACATATCTCATCTTTACTGTTCTCAAAATGTGTCACATTTTGTTTCCTGGCACTAAAATTAATTTATAGATAGTTTTTATTGATGAAATAAAATTATCGTTGTTTAGTAATTATCTGTAATAACTGCTTTTTGGGGGAATGTTCAGTATATATATATATATTTTAATTTTTACCTGTGATTTCCAGAAGGAAAGTACAGTTTGTTTGCATTTCAGAATGCAATGTAAGATAACTTGGGTAATTGTCAATTTAATTACTGACTGAAGCACCAAGGGGAAAATGTCACCAAGTTTAGGTGCCATATGAGAAAAAACAACACTTTTGAACAATAGAATTTTAATGGAAATTTAATATCCAAAAATACAAATTCCTGCTTTTAACTGAGTTAAAGTTGTATTTATGCTTGTTTTCAAAAATTCAGGTGGAGGGTAAATCGTTTTAGGAAAAATGCAAGAGCCTGATTTTCACTTGATGGTAAATTAAAAATTATCATCATTTTGAAGGGAGAAAAATATCTCGGTTTGGAACATACGCCCTCGCTTGGCAGCAAATTTCTCGCTAAAAATTTTTGCCGAAAAACTCCACGGTGCCGTATTACTATCTAAATTTTTTGTGTATATTTCGAACTTTAAGCCTAAAATGTCTTCAAAAACGCAGTTTTCGCACATGCAAAAACCACGTTTTGAACACACAATTTAAGCTAAAAATCTGAAACAAAACAAAACAAAAAAAAAAAAAAAACATTTAGATAGCAAAAACGTAAAGTGTCTAACCAAAAATATTTGACAAGAATCCATGTACACAGCGATATGCTTTAACTTAAAAAAAAGTCTACGAATTGCATAATCTAGGCAGCAAAGGAATCTACGATTTACATAACAACAATTTAATAATTTAACATAACAACAATAAATTTATAAAAAAAACCATGTACTCATCATTCTGTTTAAACTTAAAAAAACAACTACGTATTGCACAATCTAAGCATTTCCCGCAAATCAACAAAATCAACTAAAATAAATTACAAACAATTCAAAAAACAACAATAACAACAGAAATTCATAGTAAAAAAACAATGAACATAACATTCTACAAAATAAAAGCAATAAAATAAAATGCACGTACCATAATGAATACTTCTTCGGACAGCAGAATGTACGGACAGCAGGATTTTACTTTGCACACAATCTAAAATACGCGACTGAAATCTTGCCACCACGTCTCTCGTTGCAACATAGGCCATTTCAAAACACAAATCAACGAGCAAATAAAACCACTGCAAAAGAGTAAGTTTCAATGTCAAAAGGGTTGCCACACAAACAGCATCATCCCCAAAACTATCACACAACACTCAATCGTGCCAAAAACCAGTCCAGAACACATATCGCCACATTTGGTGATCGTAGGTCATATATAAAAAGTAGAGCCTTCGGTTTTTATTTTATTACTTGGATCTGAGTTCACCTCATTATTTGGTGATAATTGCTTTGAAACCTGACAATTGCTGATCACCATTAAGACCTATGAGTATTTCTTCTTGTTATAAACCGTGTACCATGTCTGTTATTGAATAATGAAAAATCTGCGTGTATGTATGTTCCTCACATTATGGTAAAACCACACAGAACCTAGAGTCACCAAATTTTTAACACATATAATCTTTCTTCTGAATATGTGCACCTCAAAGCCTGAATTTTAAATTTCTTTTTATTTATTTATTTATATCATATTTTATTTGAATTTAAGGAACTTTTGATTAGAAGCTTTGTGTTTCCACTCTGTAAAGCATAAGATATATATATATATTAAATTTAACAGAAAACATAGTGATATCAAAAGAATGTTGCTATTTTGCAAAACATAATAATCTATTTGTCTTTTAAATTCAATCAGCAAACTCGGTGATATAAAAGAAATTGTTTACCCCCTGTCCAAATTAAAATAGCTTTATATTCCATGTGGCAGTGTGTTGTTCAGCAAAGTGCAAGGTATTTAATTTTCTTTCAAATTTATTCTGTCATTAATTAACAAAGTAAACAATTTAAAAACAGCAAACACAGATTCATTTCAGATATTGTTAATTACTAGGCAAACCATGGAATTATGTTCACTTTTTTTTTTTTTTTTTTTTTCTTTTTATAGTAATTACTTTAGGCATCTGGTCACACAAACAGCTAGTAGTTTAAAAATTGCAAAATTCATTAAGGATATATTTTAATTACATTAATTGAAAAGTATTAGGAAATTAAATATGTTTTGAAAAAGTTATACTACCTTTCTAACAGTAAAAGGAATTTAAAATGTGGTTTTTTCCTAAGTAAAAAATAAATTTAAAATAATTTTTGCAAATTTATAAGTTGTACAGTACGAAGCTCGTAATCCGGACTCGTCGGGACTTCGGTGATTCCGGATTAGGGGTTTTTCCGGGTTATAGATCATCAATTTAAATCTGGTAAGATGGCATGCAGAAATTGTACAAATTAAAAATATGAAACCGTAATTTATGAAATAAAGAGCAATTATGATCTAAAGGGTATCAAATTTTACAAAAAAAAAAAAAAAAAAAATCTTAATGTTTATTTGTTTACCTTGTTCAACATTTCTTTCAATGTAAGTTATTTAAGTTGCTTCGTTTTTTGTGCTAATACTTTCTCTTTAATTCTATAAACAGACATAATTTCTTGTTCAGTTACAATGTTCCACTGTACGAGTTCTGTAATTGCTGTGTTAAGAATACTGACTAACTTGTCAATCAAAATTTTTTTGTTTTCAATAACCTCTCTGTCACTTTCTATCGGAAGCGCGCATGGGTAAACACTATGTGCATACGTAAGTTTGGGGCTTTGAGGTTTGAATTATAGATTATTCCGGATAATGGATGTTCAGATTATGGACTTTGTACTGTACATAATTTTGCTTATTATACAGAAATTCAATTCATTGATGAAGCAATAATTTTAATGTATTTGTAAAATAAAAATTCAGATTTTGCTCTTATTCATATTAGTATGATAGATATCTAGAAGTAAAAATATGTTTCTATTTGTCAAATCTCTTTTATATTTAATGATTATTTTATAGATACTTATGTATTATCCCATCAACCATAATATTTGGCTATAATCAAACTGTGCAAGATGGCAGAGATCCTGCCAAAATTGCATCATTTGTCCCTCCAGAATTCCGCAGAACTGACACCTTTTTATTTAATAAACAATTAAACATTTTGTATTTACTTTTATAACTGACATATGCAAATTAAGAATTCAGTACATATATGGTATGCACTAGTACAACTGCCTTATTAGAAGTCTCCAGATTTTCAGAATACATTAAATTTCATCTGCCACCTGCATAACAATTCATCAGGCAACCTTGCATATGATAATTTTTCAGTTTTAATAAGTAGTCATATTTTTCATATGTGTTCTTTTTGTTGTATTCCCATGATTGTTTACATATGTAGTAGATTGTAATATTTTTCTTTTAAACTCAGTTTTAAAATATTCAGTTGTGGGTGTCACTCGCAGTGAAAGAAACTGCAGTAAAATATTTTCAGGAATACTATATTTCGCCACAAAGTTGCTGAAGGCAGTGGCGTAGCTAGGATTTCAGCGCCTGGGGACAATTGAAGAATTTGTGCCCCTTTCTGTGTGCCAAGAATGGAAAATATTTCATTAAAAAATTTCATAGCATCAATTTGGGGCCACCTGGATGCTGCGCCCAGGAACAGATGTCCCCCCTTGCCCCACCCTAGCTACGCCACTGGCTGAAGGAAACAATTGTTTTGAATCTCTTCTTAATGTGTCCATCACAAAATTTCCATGAGAGCACAAAAGGAGGGGGACACCGCTTGTAAATTTATTAATTTTTTTAGGATAAATACCTAATTAAAGCATATAATGTGTGTGTAATATGTATGCAAATAACAGTATTTTTTTTTTTTTTTTTTTTCAAATTATTATATCATTCTTTTTCTTCTATAAACATTAACTCGACTGCACCACTGTGGTTGCACTAATATATAAGTAACCAAAAAAACCTATACAGATATTAATTCAAATGTTTAGATTAACTGACAAAGCTATTCATTAAAACTGCTCTGGTTATTCCAGTAGTCGAAACTTTGTATGGCATTCAAAATAGCAAGGATATAATCATTCTTTGATTTAGCAGAAGTTCTGTTTTGAACACTATGAGTATAAACTTAATGTAGGTAATTATTCCAGTCTATTACTATTTTCTTGGTGATAATCAGCTGTTCGTTTCTCCATTCAGCTGATGTTTATTCTGTTGACCAACTGTAAATGAAAGGAGTGCAGTCATAAATCTAATTCTACATCCCTAAAAATGCACTGCTTTTCAAATCAATATTTTCTAGTTGCAATTTTTTGTGTTGCAGGGCGTTGTTTATCCGTTTTCAAATAAATTATCACCTCTGTTAATACATGCTTTCCCCCCCCCCATGTTAGGATTCCTTAGCTTTGAAAATAGTGCATTGCTTACTATTTTGTACAAGGCAAATCCCAAATCTTAATATTTTTTTCTTTTTTCCAAAATGCAATAAAAATGCAGCAATAACAGTTTATTTATATCCTTGTTCATAAAAGCAAAAGGTGGCTTATCCAGTATTGATCAGGGTCACACTAAACAAAAAGCGCAGATGTTATACATGTATTCTGACACCACGATTATCCAAAATTGGTGCTAATCAGAAATAAATTTCTGGACAAGAACTTCACAATCAATAGGGATAATAAATAAGTATCATTTTATTTGTTATGTATAGTTCATGTATATATATGTACATTTATGGTTGTTATATTTCTTCCCCTTAAATTAGTGGATTCATAATATACTAGAACATAAAAGTGAAGTGGAAAGAATAGTATTTGAAGATCCTGATCCTGAAATAGGTTTTATTCTGGTACCAGATTTGAAGTGGGATGAGTCAATTTCAGATTACATTTACCTAATAGCCATTCCTCATAAAAAAAATATAAAATCATTAAGAGATCTCACAGCTTCTCATCTGCCATTACTGAATAATATCAGGTCAAAGAGTTTGGTAAGTTTATTTCTAATATAGATAAATAAGAATATATTATATGCATGGATTATTTAGTGCTGTAATCTTTTCAAATTTCCCTTTGCCATCTTGTGTCTCTGATCTTTATAACAGGCCATCCTAAATCAGTGAATAATTTTTTTTTAATTGTAAAGAGATAACATTTAAGAAGCATTTGCAACATTCTATTTTGATCTCTTGTATGTGCATGTAAATTAAATGTGCTGTCAATTACAATGTCTATTAAAATTTAGCATCAAAATGTTGTGACCTGCGCTATGAATATATCATGCAGAATGTTTAGTCAAAATGAAAATTATTCTGTATTTTCAAAACAGGTGACCCACTGGTCATATAGTTCGACCATCTGAAGCGCAACGCTAGTTGGCATTCTGCCAAAACACGTAGACTCGTCCAAGAGGGGCAGTATTACTTGCTTTGACGTGAAAGGTCTTCTCTTCTCCGGAAAGAGCTATGCTGGAGGGAAAGAATGTGCCCATCCTTCCACCCTATATGACCAGGTCGAACTATATGACCAGGTGACCCACTGGTCATACAGTTCGACCATCTGAAGCGCAACGCTAGTTGGCATTCTGCCAAAACACATAGACTCGTCCAAGAGGGGCGGTATTACTTGCTTTGACGTGAAAGGTCTTCTCTTCTCCGGAAAGAGCTATGCTGGAGGGAAAGTATGTGCCTATCCTTCCACCCTATTTTGAGAATAATTCGGTCCAAATGGCGCATGCATGTTTGCGCTCATAGGCGTGGATGATGCAGTCGACCTATATCAATAACAACAGATGACATACCCTGTATTTGCCTTTGAGTATGAATCATGATGTTTGACCTGGACTGGTTCCCTCTGTGATTACATGAAAATTTCATATATTGCTGCTTTTTTTTATATTATTTTTGTATTAATTGGTATAAAAAATTAATCTAGCATTAACTTATGAAAGACAATTCATAAAGGTCATATTGCAGTGTAAATTTGGGCTGTAATGGTGTTATAAACTTTAGTAATTTTTTAAAAATATTTTTAGTGGGAAATTGAAAATGAGTGCCATGTTTTAAATATAAATAATTTCAAAATGGCTATCGTATTTTTTTGCAAAATATGGTATTATGTATAATTTTAAGTGCAAAATCCATCTGTGGGAGAACAATATCATAATGCTATTTCAAAAATGTGTTAATTCGTTACTTAAGTATTAACGCAACTGCCTTAGCAAAAACTGCTAAATTTTCAGAATGTACCAAACTCTGGCAACCATGCTCATGACAGTCGTTGAGTCAAGCAATGCCGTCATTTTCAAAGGCATTCTTTTCTTGTTGCGCTCCAAGTTGCAATGGTTTTTATAATCTAATCACAATATTTTTTCTTGTAAATTTAGTTTTAAAAGTTCAGCTTGTGAAATTTGCCAGCAATGGATGAAACTCTGGAAAACTTCCGCAAGAATACAGAATTTTGTTGAACATTTTCTAAAGGGAGCAATGAGGTAATACATTTCCTAAATAGCCATTGTTACCAGGGTTTGCCCGAAGCTGAGTCTCCTCAGTTCTCTGACGTTTTTTTCAGCAAAAACTGATCACTGTGTATTTCAAGCAAAAAAAAAAAAAAAAAAAAAAAAAAAAAAATACAGAAAAATTTGAAGAAAAATGTGTTTTACTTTTAATGTATCACATAACCCTTATTTTAATAATTAAAATTTGTATTTTAAATTCCTTTTCATATGTTGATAATGCTTACCGGCTTATGATAAACATTGTTAGATTTGAAATCTTTATTAAAAAAATCTGATTTGTGCACCGCATGACTTCCGTCTACAGAATATTAAATTATACACAATTTTCCTGCATTGTGTTTAAACACATTGAATTAACAACTGTTAATTCAATGTGTTTTAATTAAATGTACTTCGTTGATGGTGCATAAACCACAATAGAATAAAATGTACTCTTTAAAGTTCACTATATTTATTTACCATAGCGACACTTCGGCACTATCTCATTCATTTTATATAAAAATTATATCATATGAAGAATTACCACATGTTCTATTCAAAGATTAAATCTAAAATGATGTATAAAAGAAATTAAACAAATAAAAAAGAAACAGTTTTTCACAGACGATTCAGTGCCGCTTATACCTAATGCACATGTGCTATTAATTAATTCAATTGTCACTTCACGGCAAGGCAAAAATACATAAAAATTCAAAATATTTTCATTAGATATAGAAAAACATAAAACACCAACTACAGTTAAAACAATTTTAAAAAAAGCAATTTTTATAATGAAAATTACAGTTTCTATGCAAAAACTTAAATGATAATTCCAGAATGAATTGAGCATAGTTTAATTCGCAATAGTAAAAGAAGACTTTACTTTGTTGTTACAAAGCTTTTTTTCTTTAGATGGAAACAAATCCACTATTCTGCTAAGTTTCAAATGTAAACAAATGAGGCTTAGTCGTACTTAAGAAACTTTTAAAATGTTGATAATTCCACAATTATTGCATGCTGGTTAAGTAAAGGCATAAAAACCTTAACCGGAAGGAAGATAAGAACAACGTAATTCAATCATTTTTAAAGCAAAAAATGCACAATTTAAAAACATATACGAATAAAGAAACTGAGCCGAGTAACAGAGTGGATATATATCTACAGATATTTATATACTATTGGTGTGGCCAATTGCAACCAAAATTGGATCTACATGTTATACCAGTCCTATATACAAAATCCCAATGTTCTGAGGCTACTCATTGAGTTATGCGAGATACATACGTACGTACAGATGCCTAGAAAAAATCTCTTCAGAATTCATTTTAAATCATTTTTATAATGTTTTGGGGGGAAAGGAGTCATTTATTATGTCCTTACGTACAAATATCACGCAAAAACATCGTTAAATTGCGTTCAGTGGTGGTCAAAATGGATATTTTTATTGAAATATGATACCCGAAATTTTTCGCGATTGCAATGAAAGGGAGGCACTAAAACCACTAACTTGCACCTGGTAAGTAACTTCAATCTTTTCTTCTGTTAAAAATCACCAGCTTTTACCAAGGTGGATGCGTTAATATATAAGTACTGTTATTTTTAAATGAAAAAAATATATATATGTTAAGAGAAAATGCTATATGCACGTATGATAGACATTCAAACCTGCATTTTCAAGTCATGAAAAAATATATTTAATTATGTCTATTGGCCATATAAATTTTCTCCCTCCCTTTTTCCTCCTCATTTCAGACACTGCCATAGCTGCCAACTTTTCCTGAGTTTACCAAAAGATTCTCAGTTTTTTATTGTATCTCCTAATACATTTAGCCTTTACTAAGGAAAAGTTTCCTATAAGGTTCAATAAATTAAATATCTGAATATAATTTTGATTTACCCAATGTACAATAAATTGCTAAGTTTTCCCTTCATCATAATGTGTGTATTAATAATTTATTTTATTTTCTTCATATTTAAAAGTGCTTTGATAAATAAATAGCCAGACAACATAAAATGTAGAATATCTGATTATTTTACATTAGAACTGTATTATAAACACACGAATAAACTGAATCATGCATTTATTATAAAGTGAATTAAAATTAGTTAAGGGTTTTTTTCAAAATGGTGCTTCCACTGTGCAGTGCAAAACAAAAAAAAAAAAAAAAAAAGTACTATCGATTTTTCATATTTCAAAGCTGGCAACTATGTGTAGCTAAAAGTGCAATTGTTAATTAATTAGCCAGAGATCATAAAATGTAGAATATCTTATTAAGTATTTTACATCAGGATAGTATTATAATTAATTAGCCAGAAATCATAAAATGTAAAGTATCTTAAGTATTACATCAGGATAGTATTATAATTACTTAAATAAATTGAATCATGCATTAAGGTGAATTAAAATTAATTTAAGAGTTCTTTCAAAGCAGTGCTGTCACTGTGCAGTGCAAAAACTGCCTGAGTACTCCTGATTTTTCATATTTCAAAGCTGGCAGCTGTGCGTTGCTAAATAATTTTATTCAGTGGATAACTTGTTAATTACGAATCATGTTTTTCATGGCTATTTGTATTTCAGAGGAGTTGTATAAAAAATTAATACAACTTTGTTTTAATAGGGCATTTGTAAAGGATACATATAGTTTGAATACTTAAGTTAAACAAACAATTGAATTTTATATTGACATACAGCATGTTTTACATTAGTGTATTTTATTGCTTTTCTTTTTATATGTATCATTTAAAGTTGTGTAGTTAGTTGCATGTATACATATGCCACTGTTTTATATGCTGTGTAATAATTTATTATTTTCTGATGATATTTAGAAATCCTCTTTGTTATTAATTCCAGGTTGCCATTTCCAAGAAATATAACATTCCAGAAGAAAAACTAGTAGCATACTTTCACTATCAGCCATCATTTTATCATATGCATGTACATTTCAATTGTCTGGAAAAACCTATGCAAGGATCCCAGTGTGGGAAGGCTCATTTATTAGATACTGTTATCGGTAACTTGGAACTGTGTTCAACATATTATCAACAAACTACATTGACATACACATTGAAAGAAAATGATTCTCTTTTCTCAAAACTTAGAGAAGCGTCTGTGATCTGCTCATGATTTTTCTTTTAATGCTTCTGTATTAATTACTTCTTCGAGTACACATAACAAGTTCATTGAAGTCAAGTGTAACTTTTATGTTGGTTGAAAGTTATGCATTCATCTTTGAATTTTTGTTACCTCCCTCAACAAAGAAGGCTTCATGCATCATTTGAAATGTGTACTTTATTTTTTCATAAATAAATAAGGAATAATTATTTTAAATTGTGCTAAATAACATGAAAAGCCTCTAAATAATGAAACTGTAATTTATTAACAATAATAAGTTGTATAAATTTTAAACTAATTCAATTCACCTTCACCATATGCTAAGCAAAAAGTTTAGCATTTTTAAAGTTCAAACCAATTTATTTCAGATTTAACAAAGCATGTTTCCCCCCCTTTTTTTTTCTTCAGGGTGTGGGGGGGGGAGTAATGTAATTTCAAGGGGCTGTGAAAGGTGAGTCTTAAGTCTTCTCTCCCACTGCCATTTGCTTATTGTAGGTGGGTGTTATTTTTTCTTCTTTATCACTTTGTAAGTTTGTATAGTCATTTAGAGAGGATTTAAAGGCTATTTTATTGATTTAATTACGCTTAGTTTTCGTTAATCTATCTATAAATACTTTTAAAAATAAGTTTTTTTTGGGGGGGGGAAGGTAATAGCTAGATTTTGTAAATATATGATGTCATATCTTATTTTTTAAAAACTTTTTAACCTTTTCTTGAAATCTTTAAAAATATGCATAATTTCTACATTTTGTTTGCTTTTACCTTCATGTAAGAATTTCTCTGTTTCCTTTGCATGGCTTCTGAATTGATGTAACTAGACTTATTTCTTTTAATAATGTCTTTTCCAAGCCTTTGAAATAAATAATTATAATTTTATAAGCACTTTTCTTGTCTTTAGAAGTTAAAATTTATTCGTTGGTAATATCTTATATATGTACAAAAGCTTTAACTCTCTGAGTGGTTTGACCGGATTTTATCCTGTCATCAGTTTTTTTTTTTTTTTTTTTTTTTTTTTTTTACTTCATACATATTAGTTTATAATGTAAGTTAATTTGCTTTCTTACTTACTTGAATAATATAAATAAAATCATAATGATTGTAAGATTTTGAAAATGGAGATTAAAATGAGTAATTATACAAATTTAGCTAATAAATGCTGTTTAAATATAGGTTTTCAAGACTAATATAAAATCTCATGCTGCTCAGAGTTTTAATATCATAAAATAATAATGCATTCATAAAATTATTTATCTTTATTATTATTGTCATTGATTTCTGCAAATGCTGCTCTTTTTTTTTTTTTTTTTTTTTTTTTTTTTTTTTTTTTTTTTTTAAAGAGAAAAAAAAAGTTTTCTGTAATTTCTTAATTTTTATATTATAATTTTGTTACATTCAGCGAGATATGAGAGGAATATATTGTTCTGAGGTAATAACTTGTTGTATTCTAAATATCTAAGAATACCTGTTCACAAAATCATCATAGAGGATTTTGATGTTTTATTTTTGCCAGTTACCTGAACATTTTCTTCAAGTTCAACATCTTGTGCCAAAATCATTCATCTATGTAGAGCAGGCCTTTTCATATTGCTCTTTAAAATAATTGTTATTGTTGCGAGTAATAACAATTTTTCATTTCCCAAATGGTCATGAAAATTGCATTTCTCAGTATTGTTACAATCAATATAAGAAATATGCTTCCTCTAATGAAATAGTTCCAGGATTATCAAAATTTAGACTAATTTTTTTAAACAATTGAATATTTAAAAGATGTAACATAAATGTGTATTACAGTGCTACAACTTTTCCAGTAAACCTGGAGACTTCTGATTTTTTAATCTTCTAAACCGGTAAACCTAAAATTATGTTTTAAAAATAATTTTTAATTTATTATAATGTGGATTGCTTGTTTCCACTGTAGTTTTAGAAAAACTGTTGATTACTATCTTAATCAAAAAGGAAATATCAAGGAATGTTAATGACATATTCTAAAGAAAAGATAATATAATGGAATTTATAATTCTTAAAAAAAAAAAAAAAAAAAGTAAAGGCATTTTTGAGTGATTTCCGCAGTGTTATTATTTTTTTGCCACCCAGGCTGTATAGTGGTTAGTAATGCTGACTGTGATACCTATGGGTCCAGGTTCGAATCCCAGACAAGGCACTGTAAGCATATAGTGTGTGGCTCAAGGGAGCACTCGAAGAAATACAGTCAGCCAGACTCTCGAGAGGTTGGTGGTAGGGGAAGAGGAGGGGCAGACTCTCACTTACCTCTTAGGGTGTTCTCCTTTTAAACTGGGGCAGAATTGCACAGTTAGTATTGCAGGACTATACCTGTATTATCCCAATCTGCTATATATCCCCAAATCTGCTGTTTTTAAATTTTTAGCTTTTATCTAAAATTTTTAGCTTATTTTTAGCTTTTATCAATTATATAGATCCCCAAATCTGCTGGTTTTAAATTTTTAGCTTTTACTAAGAAAAAGGATTTCCGGCAATGAGTCAAATTTATTTAATTAATGAAATTTAAATTATACATATTCCATTCTCCCATTCATAATTGATTTTCTCAGCATATAAATGTATAAGAAAATTATAAAATGAGATTAGTGGAAGAGCATAAAATTTAGACTGTCTAATTAAATATTAAAGCATTTTACGTCAGAATTATAAACAGTTTAGTAACTTCTTGAATCGTGCATAAGTGAAATCGAGTCAATTTGGAGGTTTTTTTAAATGGTGCAGAAACCTCTCAGAAATTCCCAGATTTTCATATTCCAGAATTAAATTATTAAAATATTTATCCCTTTAATATGAGGGGTTTTTTTAAAATGCGATATGACAAATGAAAGAATACAAGTGTGGCAATTAAATTACGAGACTGGTGTCAGAAATATGATGTATTGCAAACAAAGTTACAACTAACATTTATCATCTTCAGCATACTCCCTTCCTCTATCTATACAGTGCTGCATATGTGCCTTCCATTGTTCAAAGAAATGCTGTAGATATTCACTGTCATCATCTTCAACAACTCTGATGTATTTGCTTTTACCTCTTCAGCAGACTGAAAATATGTTCCTTTCAATGCACTTTTCACTTTTGGGAACAGATAAAAATTACAGGAAGCCAGATCTGGAGAACACGGAAGATATTTGAGCACGGGAATGCACTTGACCACTAAAAAGTGTTTCGCAGATAGGGCATTACGGGCAGGCACATTGTCCTGATGCAGAAACCATGTGTTGTTCTTCCACAAATCCTGTCTTTTCTTCCCTACTGTTTCTCTCAAATTGATTAGGACTTCTTTGTAGTATTTTTGATTAATAGTTGACACTCAGGCACCCATTCAGTCATGATAATAACTCAGATATCGAAAAAAACAATCTGCATTGCCTTCAGTTTTGACCTTGCTCATTTGTGCTTTTACTTGGTGATATGGACACAAACTTTTGCATGTTCAATTCATCGTGCAAAATTTGTCTTACAATCTCTTTATTAATGTTCAGCATGTCTGCGAGTATCCAAATGCTCAGACATTCATCTTTCAGAACAATTTCATTATTTTCTAAAGGCTTGCTCTGAGCTCACAGATTGACCAGGACATTCATCATTTTCAGCCTGTTCCTGATCGTCTGAAAACCATTTGTTCCTTTCAAGAAATAAAAAGATGCCATTGCCAAATTTTTAAATTTCACAAGGAATTTGAGATTAATGTGCTGTTTGGTTTTGAAGCTCGCCATGATCGCAGCACTACTCACGCAATAACGTCCTCTACAACAAAGGCTGAAAAGTAAACTAAGGCAGACAGAAAGACGAAATGAACAGTGGCTGCTCTTGAAGGTTTAGTGTTACTGTCCAATACCAACCTTTTCCCATGCAGCAGCACACCAGGAGGTGCGCAGTATCATTATATAATTGTGCCTCGCTTCCTAATAAAACACAGTACAAAGTCTGAGATTCAAAGTCATTGGGACTTCCGTGATTCCATATTTAGGATTTTTCTGGATGTTAGGTCATCAGTTTAAATCTTTAAATTCTAGTAAGATGATACATAGAAATTATAAAATTAAAAATATGAAATAGTGAAGCATTTATGGTGTTAAAAGAACCAAAATTTACAAACAAACAAAAAATCAATATTTATTTGTTTGCTTTAATCTTTTCTTTCAGTGTAAGTTTAAGTTTTTTGTTCTTTGGACTAATACTTTCTCTTTGATTCTATAAGTAGACATAAATGGTATGATTCGTATATTATGATGTTCCATTGTTCAAGTCTTATAATTGCTGGGTCGAGAACTCCCACTAAATTGTCAGGCAGAATTTTTTCATTCTCCACAACTCCTTTATCACTTTCTTAACTATGGGTGGCGATATGTGTTTGTGATATCTAAAAACTTTCAAATCCGGGTCTATACCATCAGCTTAGCTAGCGTCAATGTGTTATGAGACTGACGACTGAAGAGGTGTTGTTCCGCTAAATTTTGTCTTACTTCTGTAAAACTCTGGTGAAGTTAAGGCTGAATTAGTTATTTATTATAATTACACTTATTTCCTGCTGAAGGCTTATCTGATTCCTGAATAAATAAATTCCCACATATGCTTAAGATTATCCAGGGCTGGCCCTAGACATTATGTGGTCTGGTGCAGTCTCTGTGGATCCCAAATCTGCTGCCAAGCACATCCCTAAATTCTGAAAATTTTGCTTTCCATTGGCTTCCGTAAATTCTAAAGATTTTGCCATTCCTTAGTTTTGTTGCTCTGTGCTATTTTAGTTTATTAAAGTTTTGCCTTCCGGTGGGCTTATCTGAATAACAAATCAGTTATTCTCAAGTCAGACAGCACTAAATTCAATCTTTTTGGCCTATAATCTATTTTACAAAACTTTTTTTTTTTTTTCACATGGAAAGAAATTTATGTTAGATATTTCCTCGTCAACACTTCACACCATATTTAGCTGAAATCTGCAATCATTGTCAATGTAAAAGGTTACCATACTCTTTGGTATTCAATTACTAATATTTAAAAAAGAAAAATTAGCTTAGACATTGCTGCATGTGTCATTTCTCAAGCTATCATGTGCTGATGAAACCAAAAATAATAAATAATGATTCACTAGGTATGCATCATTGATACAAATTACTCAGTAGGTGTAAAATCAAAGATGTTTCGTTTTGAGATATATGCCAAGGAAAAGGTGGCTGCTGAGCCAAATTATTAATCATACAGATTTATGCTAATAAATGATTGTTACTTCAGTATGAAGGTATTTTATTTAGTGGTAAAGTGAAATTAATAATCAGGATTCTCCACATGTTTTATTATGAAAAAATATCAAATGTGCATATGTAAAACATGGGGAGGGGGAAGAATTCTAAAAAAAAAAATCTTAAAGGTTTCAGATTTGCACAAAAGGGTTTGTTAAGGTTTTTTATGCTCTCACAGTTTACCAGTATGCTGTTGCAATTACATATGCTAAGTTTTTTATATATTTATTTTTTACTGAGCATCAGTTTCTTAACACTTACACCATATACTGTTCAGCAGCAGAATCATAGAAATTTTAAAAGTAGTATATGTTTAGAATTTCCAGTGCAGTTGGCTAATCATTTAATTAATTATTAATAATTGCTAATTATTTAATTAGTTATTAATATTAATTTTTTGCTGAGAGTGAAGTGTCAGTATCCACAAAAAATTGAATAAGTTTCTTATTTTGTTTTTTATGGCGTATATTGTTGACTTTTTCGATTTGCAAATTTTCCTGTAGCTTCGGAATTAGAAACGCTTTTCAACATAATCAAAATTTTCAATTTAAATTTTGATAAGATAGCTGTAGTAATATTAGCCTACAAAAAATAAGAAGCTAGGTCAAATTA